CAAGAGCCGGCACGCCCCAACCACCGTGGCGTGAAGCGGCAGAAGCAGCAACGACGACTACAGGGACAAGATCTGAATTATTTGGCACAGACGACGCACAGTAGGCGGTTCGGGAAGGAAATGCGGCGCTTTGCTCCACGAGCTCTCGGCGCTTCCGCTGTGTCCTACGCGACAACAGCTCTCGCGCTGCTGCACACCAAAGCCAGCAGCAGCAGCAGCAGCAGCAACGGTGGCCTTACCGAGGAGGAGGAGCGCGAACTGGAGGAGGAGGAGTTCCGCGCCATGGATGCTGCACAAGAGGATGCGGATATGCTTCCCGTCACTCACGTGCTTGCCGCGAAGGCAGATGCGTTGGATGCGGAGCTGCAGCGCCTGTCGTACGTGCTCTTCGAGAAGCCGCAGCTCGTCGTGGACACGCGGTCGGCAACATTGACGGGGCGCCCAGCAAACATTCTCGCGGTGCTGCAGCAATTCCACGACGACACCACACGTCGCACCCGCCCTGCTGAGTGGACTAAGCCGGTGGGTGCCGCCTCACCCTTCGTGCAGGCGTGCAAGGAACAGCGCAGCGCTCTCCCGCGCTGTCGCCAGGGGGCGTCGCAGCAACAGCAACGGTCTGATCAGCTTGCGACGCTCACAGCCAATCTGGACTATCTGCGCCGGATGAAGCGACTGCACGCGCTGAACTTCTACAGCCGCATGAACATGACGCCTAAGCGCCACATCTGGCTCTCACTCTATGCGATGCTCTGGAATGTCGTAGTGGCCGTGCAGAACGCATTGGGGTGTATCTTATTTTGCGTGGTGCGTGGCGTGCGCGACCACGGGCTTGTCGTTGGGTTCGCGAAGGGCTCTGCTGGGGGCGTGGTGCGCGCCTCGCAGTTCCTGGCGTACGGGCTGCTGCTATCGCCACTTATCCATATCCCGTGTGGGCTCCGCAACAGCGTCTACGGCGTGTGGAATGCGGTGGCGGGGACGTTGTTCTTCGAGGCGGGCGCCGGGCGCTGGCAGCGCTGCACCGCTCTTGACGCCGTGTGGCTGCAGCACGAGCTGCGGCTGGAGCAGCGTGCGATACGCGCTGTTGGGCGGCTCGAGTTCCGCCGCAAAAAGATGCGGTCCGAAGAGAAATGGCACCAGCGGCTCGCCTCGATGGGGTTCTCCTTCGACACGCTCAACAAGAAGATGATGGGCAAGCAGCAGCGGTCGTCGTCGTCGTCGTCGTCTGGTGGGTGTGAGGAGGACCCGTACGAGGTGCTGCAGGTGCGGCGCTCCGCAACACAAGCGCAGGTGAAGACGCAGTATAAAAACCTTGCTAAGGTGTTCCACCCCGATGTGGTGCAGAGCCGCCACGGTGGGCCGCTGAGTGAAGAGGAGCGCATCGCCGCCCAGCGCAAGTTTGAGAGCATCTCGCAGGCCTACCAGATTCTCTCCAACCCGGAGAAGCGCAGGTCGTACGATCTCGGCGGGGCGCAGGCGCTGCGGCTGCACGAAAGCAAAATGGGTCGTTTTATGTCGCGCACACCGGAGGAGATGATTCAGAGTGTCTACGGTGGCGAGCCGTTCCGGCAGAAGCTGCTGGGCCCCCTGCTGCGCTCCCATTGGCACCTGCGCAATGAGGCGCAAGTTAGTGTCTCGTTGAATGAGTTTGAGGAGCTTCAGTGCATACGCTGCCGTGAGCTGTCGGCGGAGTTGGCGCAGATTCTTGACGTGCATGCGAACTCTCCAGCAACGCGCAACAGCCAGCAGCGCGCCGCACACACACGGAGTGGGGTGCTGCACAGCTTGGTGGACAACCCCACTGCTACCAGCAGCAGTGGTGGTGGCAACGCAGCAAAGCGCAAGGCGCAATCAGGCTCAGGGGCGGATGCAGCGGCGGACTCCCCGTTCACACTGACGCCCGGGAGCAACGAACATAACTGTTTCTCTCGGGACTTTGAGGAGCGCTGTGACCGCTTCACCCGCCGTCTCGCCGATGCCTGTTTTGGTCGCGAGCTGATGTATGAGGTGGGGCAGTCTTACATTGTGTCGAGCCAGCGCTTCCTTGGAGTGCGCCCCTTCTACGCGCCGAA